GTGCTGGGTACTGTACTAGGTGCTAGGGACACAGCGGTGATCAAAATCAGAGATGGTCTCTGTTCTCCTGGGGATTACAGTCTAATGGGGGAGGTCAGCTTTATGCAAATAATGACTCTAATAAATGTAAAACTACAACTGTGCTCAGTGCAATAAAGGGTAAATACTTAGCATTTAGTAAGGGATATGACTTACCTTGGTGGGGGCTCAGATTCTGAAAGTCTTCCCTAGGAGTGTCACCTGACCTGAGGTGCAAAGGATGAGTAAGAATTACCTAGAAGAGCAGGAACTAAAATGGTGAAGGATGGTACAGGCAGCGGAACAGCGTGCACAGGGACCTTACAGTAGGTGGCCCAGGGAGAAGTTACATGGGCCCAGGGAGAAGCCTATCCAAGTGGTACCCCTTTCAAAAGCCCACTTTGGAACCTGTGCTAGCACAATACCCCAAGTGTCTCACAAGGGGGGAGATGGCCATAGATCTGCATGGTGTGAGCTCCCTGGTGGCTCCTGAGCAAGCTGGAGGGACAGGCCCAGGTGTGTGAGCAGAAATGACCTTGCCTCGAGGTCATTCTGCACATCCGGCTCTCTCTCTCCACTGGGGGAAGTGCTTCCTAACAGCTGCTCTGAAGCGATTCTCCTTCAATTTCCATTTTATAGCTTCTTGTTCCCTCCTCAGCGGGAGGCTGTGTCTCTGAAGAAGTCAGGCTGACATTGCAGACTGCAATTGCCATGCCTTCCGCCTGCCTGAGATTTCTGGTCATCTCTCCCCTTGGGTGCCAAGTTGCTCCGCCTTTGTTCTATCAAACAGATATTTATCAAGCACCTACTGTGTGACTGGCACGAAGCTGGGTGCTATGGTGGATGGGAAAGGATAACCAGGAAACTTGCGATGTCCTTTCCACTATCCAACTCATGGGGGACCCCACACAACCAATCAATAAGTGTCTGTAGAGTAGAAACAAAGAATTGAGGTTTGAATGAATTATTTAAAGCCCCAAAGATACCCACAACAGAAGGCTACTTTGCCATGTGTCTATAAAATTGGTGGGCAGAAAGTGGGGGATTAAGTGAGATAAATCCTCATCAGTCATACTAAGAAGTCAATAGATAATGTCGAGAGTTTATAAATCAAGGAGCAGAAGTAATAAATCTTTGACAGAAACCACCAGAGTGTAATGATTAAGAGCACTCGGGGGTCTGGAATCAGACCTCCTTGTGCTGAAATCTCATTTCTGTTACTCGTCAGTGGTGTGACCTTGGACGGATCACTGAAATTTCCCCAGCCGAACATGGCAGCGGTACCTAGCTCATGGATCCTCAAGGAAGCAATGCACATTGCTTAGCACAGGGCTTGGCACACGACACGTGCACTCAATAAACATTAGCTGAGGTCAAAACAAAACAGTTAAAAATTAATAGTCTCAGGACCAGGACATGGGGAGAGGGAGTCGTATTTTTTATTATAAATTGAATTATTTAATTTCATAACCATATGCATGTATTGCATTACTAAAAATAAAAAATTTAAAACATATGTACCAATCGAGGGACTGGAAAACTAGACATTGAAGGTGCTCTCGGCTTGAGCCTCCTTCCTGCTCCCTCCAGAGCCCTTCCCTCTTTTCTGCCCCAGCTCCGTCTTTGGTTTCCCACCTCCACTCTGCTGCCTTGCTCTGTCTGGTCACCCACTCTTAACTGTTCTCAGTAGGTCCTGGTGTCTATGAGTCATTTAGCTCCTAGGGCCCCGGGGCCTGATGCCATGCTTCATGGCACCTAGGCCAAATGCCAGGCACATGACTGGGGTAGAGAGTATGGCAACTGAGCCTGGAGGATGTGGCATCTTCCATGGGGACAGTGATCCCAGGGGGTTCCTGGAAATGCCCATACTCCTCCTGGGGCTTCTTGTTTCCTCAGATGAATGGCTGCTCACTACCTGAGAGTCCTAGGGTTCAGGTCACCAAGGCTCCTCCTGGTCTATGAGCTACCAGGTTATTTGCTTCTAACATGTCACTTCCCTCCCTCTTATGAGCCTTAATTTCTTCTTCAATAAAATAAGTTGTTTGTTCTAAAAGTTCCTGTTTTCGTCAGCTTTTTCGATGCTGCGATTGAAAGACCCGACCAGAACGATTTTAGGGGAGGAAAAGTTTATTTAGGGGCTCACAGTTTCAGAGGTCTCAGTCCATGGACAGCAGGCTCCATTCCTTGGGGCTCCAGGTGAGGCAGGACATCATGGCGGAAGAGTGTGGCAGAGGGAAACAGTTCACATGATGATGAGAAAGCAGAGACTCCACTGGCCAGATATAAATAGGTACCCAAAGCCATGCCCAATTCCCACCTCCTCCAGCCACACCCTACCATTTCAGTTACCACTCAGTTAATCCCTATCAAGGCACTAAATCACTGATGGGGTTAAGATTCTTACAACACAATCATCTCTCCTCTGAACCTTCTTGCGTTGTCTCACACGAGAGCTTTGTGGGGACACCTCACATGCAAACCATAACAGTTCCTGCTACTTCTTCCTCAATCTTTGCCAGTCTAGGAAAGTCGAATACTTGTCTTCTGGTCTAAGAAATAACAATACATGTACAACTCATATAGAGACCCCCCCATCTCACACACACACACATACCTCTGGCCCAGATGTGCTCTTAATCCACCACCTCTTTGGCATTTGATGGTTTTGACTATCCAACATCCATCCATCCATCCATCCTTTCTAGACCCAGGACTCCAGTTTCCCTATAGGGCTCCCTCTTCCCCACTCTCATGTCTTAAGTACTCAGATGGAGCTAAGGGGCAAGCAAGTGACCCAGGCCCATTGAATGAGACTTGGTTTTGGCATTTTTAGTGAGATTGCTGGGAAAGAGAAATCAGTTTTCCCTGGCACTGCTAGCCCTAAGGATAATTTAAATCTGGAGCAGCCCTGTCATCAGCAGGGAACAGCCTGCCCGAGGGCAAGAACATAAGGAAGAAGCAGAATTGGGAGTTTCTGTGGCTTTAATGACACCCTTTGAACACCTGGAGCTTGTGGTCTCTGAAGGCATCCTTTCCTTAGATTTTTCAATTAACTAAGGCAGTAAATTGCTTTCATTGAAAAAAAAATTTATTACCCATAGCTCTTTTGCGCGGGTTTATCTGTCAGTTTCTGAGGAAGAATTTGTTCTTGAATATTGTTTATCTTTAAGAAATTCTTTTCCATACTCCTTCTTTTGCTTAGGAAACTCCTATTCATCCTCCGGGATGCGCCCAAACATCACCTCCTGTGACCTCTTCCATGCCACTCTTAGCAGTACCAGAAGTCCCTTCCTCTGGGCTCTCATGGCCCCTGGAAAACACTGCAATAAAATACTCAGTGCATTGCGTTAAATTTTGTCTGCTCTGATACTTCTGTTTAAATGATGCTTGGGCTTGAACCCGAGGTGCCTAGAATGAGGAGCCGGCAGACTTTGTGCTTGACGAACGAGGGGATGAAAGAGTAATAACCAGAATCTTTCTGCTGTGGCAGTATCCCACTTTTTGTTGTTGTTTTTGTTACTCCAAAGAAACAGGAACCAATTTGTCACTCTGCTGTATGTGGATTAGTCACAGTGCAATCTACTACGGGGTGTGTGATGTAGGCGTTGAGCTGAGTGATGCTGAAAACAATTCCACTTTTGACGCTGAACCCTCTCTTGCTACCTGTCCCTTTTGTACTTACTCCGGAGGCTGCATGCTACCATGGATGGGGAGTCAGGAGAACTGGGTTTTAGTCCCCATTCAGCTTCCTCTGTTAATTTATGGAGTCTCTTCGTCATGAGAGAATGGACTATATCAGTAGAGACTTCTAAAATCTACAGGCCTATGATAAACCATTCAGTCCCACTGACCAGTTACCACTCAGCTCCAACTTGAATGGCCATACAGGAAAATAGGCCCAGTGTTGCTCAGATTTTGAAAAAAAAAAAAATTGGATTTTTGTTGTTGTTGTTCATTCAGCTTCATCTCTGGAGAAAAAAATGGGGGCAATCTCTCTGTGTTGATACAGAGTAATCGTTTTACTACATAAAAGCAAGGTGCAGTCCCCTGGGTGAGCTCTGTAGCTGAGGAGATGTGACAGCCAAGCTCTTACTCTGTGTGTATGCATGTGTGTACTTGCATGCATGTCAGTAAGTGGCAGTGCTATTTGTACCTGAAGCAGGGCCCTGCCACTTACTGACAGGAACTTGGCTGAATGTTGGACTAGGATTCCAACAGCATTGGGTTCTAACCCAGTGTTTTGTCTAACAGCCAAGAGGCTCTTTCTCCTTCCTCCTACCTAAGACAACTGTTTTTCCTGTATTCATTTTTTTTTAAAAGAGAGAGAGACAGAGAGAGAGAATTTTTTAATATTTATTTTTTAGTTTTCGGTGGACACAACATCTTTTTTTTTTTTTTTTTAATGTGGTGCTGAGGATCGAACCCAGCACCCCATGCATGCCAGGCGAACATGTTACCGCTTGAGCCACATCCCCAGCCCCTTCCTGTATTCATTTTTACAATGTCTTTTCCACTACCACATGGTAAGCCCTGTGACTGTTATTTATCATTTTCCCACTACTGAATGCCTAGCATCTCCCATAGTTTCTGGCACATGATAGGTGCATTAATAAATATCGGTTGAATGAATAACTAAAAGAGTCAGTGAGGTGATGTACATAAAGAACTTAGCACACAGTGTCTAGGCATGGTTCAGTTTCCTCTTTTGGAAAATGGAAATAATAATAGAACCTGCCTCATAGGGTTTGGGGGAAGATTAAAGTGCTATCTTCTTTCCTCTGTCATTTGTTTCCAATTTCTGAGAGAGTCTGAGTAGTCCAATTCATCCTTTTGATCCAAGTCAGACAAGTCATGGTCAAGGACCAGCCCATAGATGAGGATGAGGTACTCGGCAAGGTACGGAATTTAGTCATTTGATGTAGTGTTCTGATCAGGGATTCTTACAGGCATCTGAAATATGTGCTACAGAGCAGGCCTAGAGGTGAAGGGATACATTTAAAATTTATTAGGCAATAAAATCAGCATTATTAGGTAATTGTTTGAATGTGGGAGGTGAGTTGGATTAGAAGCCCAGATGACATCAGGGGTTAGCTCTAGTGACCCAGTGATCTGTCAGCTCCCCTTTCCTCTGTGTTAGGCTGTTCTCTGGGGGCTTCACCCTCGTTGAGTTAGGGTCTCAGGCAGGAAATGAATGGCACTCTCATGCTGGAAAATTTGAGAAGAATTTATTAGAACACTTTGGGAGGGGAGGGGCGACCACCAAGGACAGTGAAATGCCCTAGGACTGCAGGTTAAGGGGAGGGGCAGTTATCAGAACCCAGGGAGACTGTGACAGGCACTGTGGCCCTTAGTGGCAGACACAGTCAGCCAGTGGCATAGTCCCAGTGAGGGAGCTGGGGAGAAACCCTGACCTGGGTCTTCTCCCTGTTCCTAGGTCCTGTCAAGGGCTAAGCTCATCAAGAAAAAGGAGCATCAAGAAGCCGGTGGACGGGCTGGGGTTGCGGCTCCCAGGTAAAGCGCTTTGCCTAGCATGTGTGAGGCTCTGGGTTCGAGTCTCAGCACAAGAAAGGAAAGAGAAAGAAAGAAAGAAAGAAAGAAAGGAAGGAAGGAAGGAAGGAAGGAAGGAAAGAAAGATCCGTGAACAACTAATAAAAATATAGAAGCAGCAGCAGCAAAGAACAAAAGCTTCAGGAGAGCAAAGGCAAGACATTCAGCCGACTCTTCACATCCTGTTAGAAAGCTGACCTAGAAGAGGCCACTATTTCCTTCATAAAATCCTCAGGACGAACCCCATTGGTTCAGGTTTGTCTTCTGGAAATCAGGTGCTCACCCCTAGACTAATCACAGAAGTGGAAGGGGATAGAGTGCTCTGATTGGCCAAGCCAGCAGTTTAGGGTGGAGTCAACCTCCCAGGGCATGGAGTATAGATCCTCAAGGTAAAGCAGGGTGTTTTGCACTAGCCAGATATAAAGAGCAGATGTCACCACTCCAATAATGGGGCTCCTGGAGGGCTTCTGAGGGGAGCTTGCTGTTCCTGCTGGATGGATGGGGGAGGAAAGCCCAGAGTGCATGCATGGATGGGTGAGCCCAGTAGTAAGGAATGGAGCTGCCCCCTTTCCTGGCCTGTTCCCCAACAGGACAAATCTTAATATTCTGTAACTCCACCACTTACTAGGAATTTTTAAACAACAAGTTCAGTCTTCTCATCAGGATTAAGGATCCTAACAAAGACCACCAAGCCCTGCTTTATGAGTTCATTCTTGAAACTGCTGGAAGGTGCCACCTAGTGGAGCATCATATGATCTACGACTTAGAAACCTTAGCCCGGTTTTGGAACCCTGAAAGCCTCTGAACAGTGATGCTCCTAAATTTGGCTACTGTAAGAAATCACTTGGGATGACTGAGACTAATAGGTTTTGGATATGGGGTGAGCATCTAGAGTCTTAACATTTCCCCCAGGTGATTCTAATATGCAATCAAGATTGAGATCCCTGGGTTATAGAGTACCCAACCCCCTTATTTTATAGAGGTGCTCACAAAAGAGAGTCACTCTTTCAAGAGCCTCAGTACCCTAGGAAGAACCCCTTGCTCTGAATCCTACCACCTATCTATTGGTGTTTTGTACTGATCTTTTTTCCTTTGTACAAAAACATAAGTAATTAAACAGGAACCACTTGCATTTTCCAAGCCCTGATATTTCCACAGCAGTGCCAGGAGGATGGCTCCCTCTACACCTAATATTTGCATCTGACCCTGGTGATTGATGGTCTGTTTGAGATGTATCCACCCAGTGACTTTGTATATTTACTCTGTTTGAGATTTGTAGCCTTCTGTTTGCTCTTTCAAAACTTCTCCTGCTTGAGGCATCTCCCACATTCACTGTCTTGACTCAACAGCGATCCTTTACCGTTGGCAGGATTGGTTGGTTTTATTGGCATCTCATGGTGGAAATGACAAAGTAGACTCCAAGAGGAAAAGAGAGGCAATGGCCTGTCTAGAGGTCATTTCAAATAGACATCCTGCAACCCCTTTAGTCTTACTCAATCCAGGAGCTAAAATGTCACTAAATATAGACACTGGAGAAGGTCCAGAGTGGTGCTTCATAACTGGTCCCTCTTTTTCCACCCTATGATGTAAGACCAAGTCCCAGAGTTTTAAAGAAGACCTCAGAGAGCATCTGGTTCAACTGCTTTACTTAATATGACCATATTCTATGTTTAGCTAGATATTTCTAATTCCTGATATTACATGTATACCTTTGTGGACTCATACAAGAAAAACCTGATGCTCAGAGAATTTGGATGACTTTTGAGTTTACACAAGAATTTAGGCTCACTGGATGTGATGGCACATGCCTGTAATCCTAGCAACTCAGGAGGCTGAGGCAGGAGGAGCCCAAGTTTGAAGCCAGTCCCAGCAACTTAGTGAGACTCTGTCTCTAAAACATAAAAAGGGTTCAGGATGTGGCTCCGTGGTTAAGCACCCTTGGGTTTAATCTCTGGTAAGTAATAATAAGTACTAGTAGAGTAGTAGTAAAATTAGTAGTTGGGGCAAAGTCTAGACTGATTCAGGCTGACCAGACATAGGTAGGGAAATTTCAGATCCAGAATTCTTCACTTTCTGTACATTAGAAGCTTGAGCCTTGTTAAAGGACCAAGTTGTAGAGATAGCAATTTGGATTACTGACAATAGCCTTAGTGAATTTCCTCAATATAGGAAGAGGGCTGTTGATAGCAGGCGAGGCTGTACATGTTTGGGGGCAGGAGTATATGGGATATCTTAGTACCTTCTGCTAGTTTGGCTGTGAACCTAAAATTACTCTAAAATTACTCAATATAGGTTTTAGAGAGGTGAATGCTTTAGTGTTTGATTGATTAATTGGTTCATTTATTTTCCAAATGTTTGTTGAGCACCTCCTTGTGTCTAGGTACTATGCTAGGCATTGACGGGATACTGTGGAGCCAAAACCCAGGGAAATAAACATCTGAAAAGATGTTCCATATCATATGTCATCAGTGTAAATCAAAACAATGAGATGTCACTCTGCACTTGCTAGAATGGTCAAAATCTAGAACCCAGACACCAAGTACCAGCAAGGAGTAGGGCAATAGGAATTCTCATTCTTTGCTGATGGAAATGCAAAATGGCACTTTGTATTTTCCACTTTGGAAGACAGTTTGGTTGTTTCTCAAAAAACTAAACGCACTCAATAATTGAGCTCCTTGGTATTTACCCAAAGGAGGCAAAAACTTATGTCCACACACAAACCTGCATGTGGATGTTTATTGCACCTTAATTCATAATTGCCAAAACTTGGAAGCAATCAGTATGGCCTTCAGTCAGTGAGTGGATAAGCTGCGAGCCATCTAGACAACAGAATTTTATTCATCCATAAAAGGAAATGAACTACCCAGCCTCAAAAAGATATTGAAGAACTGTAAATACATATTGCTAAGTGAAAGAAGCCAGTCTGCAAAGACTACACACTTTTTTGGTAAAAGGCAAACCTATGGAGACAGTAAAAGATCCATGATTGCCAGGGGTTGGGAGCGGGGAGAGAAGGGGGAGCACAGAGGATTTGGGGGTTGGGAAACCCACTCCTTATAATTCTGTAATGGTGGATACCTCATTATACATTGGTCCAAATCCATAGAATATCCAACACCAAAAGTGAACTCCAATGTAGACTACATACTAGGGTGATCATGATGTATCAATGTAAGATCATCAATTTTAACAAGAAGGCTATTCTGTTGAGAGATGTTGATAGCAGGTGAGGCTGTACATGTTTGGGGGCAGGAGTGTATGGGAAATCTCAGTACCTTCTGCTCAATTTGGCTGTGAACCTAAAATTACTCTAAAAAGTAAAATCTATTACAAACGAATAAAAAAATGCTGAAAGCTACCATGGTCTCTGTCTTCATGGGGCTTACAGCCCAGAGGGAGAGATGGATATCAAGTAATTCTCCACAGCCATAAACATTCTGACCATAAGGAAAGGCAGGACTGGGAGGTCAGACAGCTGAAAGATGGAGTCTGTTTGGGGAGATCAGGCTTCTCTGAGAACACGTCAGTTGAGCTTGGTGATCCCCAAAGAGAGGAGGAGCTAGAAGGCTTTGGGCTTGTAGGAAATACAGAAGTCCAACACCCATGATTTTTGGGGTTTTGCTTTTGGTGTCTCTCACCAGCCTGGAAATCATTCATTAAAGGCATCCTCATTTTGCAGCTGAGAACAGCTAAAGGATTTGGCCAAGATTAAAGGGTATTAGAAGCAGACTGTCACAAAGGCCAACCTGCCTGACTTTCTGATCCAGTCTACTTTTATACCCTCTCAGCTCAGAGCTTGGCCAGTCCAGCCTGAGGGTACAGTTCTTGACAAATGGGGTCAGCAACATGGGTCCCTAAGAAAGTCCAGGTGAAGATATTCAGCAGGAAAAGTTCTTATATACTCATTAGGAAGATTGGGGGCCTGCATCTGTCATTTCTCCTCCAACTGAACCTTCCTGTTACTGATGACAAGATGGAACACCAAAGAGTGAGTCATAGAATATACGGCTCATTTTTATAAAACAGGAAGTAAAGATGGGAAGATGGGGAAAGCGAGGAGAGATTCATCATTCATCAAAAATGTATCAATCTCTTTCCATGTTTCGGGGACTAATATTCCACAATGCAGGGAAATAGCAGGGTACAGCCCTCAAGGAAACTGACAAGTGTGGCTGATATTCTATTTGGAGATGCTCAGTAACAAGCAAGTGAATAAGCAAATAAATGAGACTGTGGCAAAGAGGGATATGCACTGTGAAGAAAATAGAGCAAGATATAAAGTATGAAAGAGTGTGTTTAAGAAGGTCTCTGTGAATAGGTGTCATTTGACTGGGATCTGAAGGATCAGAGACAGCTAGCAATTATTGGGGTCGGAGTGGGGGATCTTGGAAAAAACAGCTGGCAGACATAACAGCTAACTAAAGGACTTGGGCTGGAATGAGCACGGTGCCTTCAAGGGCAGGAAGTGTTTGTGGCTGGTTTGGAGTAAGAAAGAAAGGATAGGAGATGAGATCAGAAAAATGCAGGCCATAGCAGAGGGTTTTGCCCTCAGCTGAAATCCTGTCTATCCCTTTTCAGAGCTCCTGTTGGTGCTGAGCTTTTATTGCACCCACAGCTAATCATGCTTACATTTGACCAGGATCTACCGTAAGCCCTTTATGCACATTATATGATTTAATGCCACAACAGGCCTAGTAGGAGGGCTTAGTCTGAAAGTAACATTTCTTGTTTAATTTCAGTCAGTGCAGATCAGTTTTCCCAGGAAATGGTATTGTCTCTGTGAGTAGGATAAAGCCCCAGGAGCCCTATCCCTGCCTGGTGCATCCCACATTGTAGAAAGTGATCAAAGAGTCCTAGGATTAAAGCTGGGTTCTCAAGCTCAAGTCCCCATTGGGGGCAGACAGGGCTGGTGTGCAGCTTTGATCCGCAAGTGACTCTATAAGACATGAGAAAAAGCTCAAATCCAATTTCCTGCAGAATCCTCTATGGAGCTACAAGATGGGGTGAGAAGGAGAGCCCCACACTGAATATTTTATCTCCCGTCATGATCTTAATTGCTATATTTCGCTCGACCAGTAATTATTGAGCACCTACTGTGTGCCATGCCTGCGAGGGTCCACAATTCAGCATTGTATAGACAACAGGGGCAGGAGCTGAAATCTTTGTGCCTTGGCTGCGTTGGCTCAGGAAGAGGGTGAACCTTTCTGCAAATTCCTCTGTCCAGAAAGAGCACAGGCACCTGTTTTCTGATTCACAATAAAGAGAAGTCTGTTCTGACAGAGATAGGAGTACCATAAAAGACAAGAAAAGCACCAAATTCCTGCTTTTCTTGAAGCTCACATTGTAGGGCAGGAGACCCCAAATGAGACGTGCTCTGAAGAAAACTCAAGAAAATGGAGACAACTGGGGCACTAGGCGATATTTTAGATCCGCTGGTCAGGAAGTTCTCTCTGAGGCAGAACCTCTGATTGGGTTCCTGAATCATGCAAAGGTCTGAAGGGAGTTATTTTCAGAGAAGGGCAGAGCAAGTTTGCAAAGGCCCTAAGGTGATCAGCAGCTGGGTGTGTTTGAGGAATACGGCAAGACTACCGTAACTAGAAGGAAAAGAGAAAAGGCAAAAGCTGGAGGTTGGGTCAGATCGCTTAGATCTTGCAGACTGTAGTAAGGTTTCTCATAGACAAGTCTAAAGTGAAGGGAAGCCATAGGTGAGCCCAAGCAGGAGGGAGCTTGTGTTTATGAAAGATCACTCTAGACAGCACTGTGCTCTCTGCTCTAGAGGCACATAAAAGAATTTTGCAACATTATCTGATTTTATAAATACTATGTATCTACTGAAGTATAAAAGATAGAAGACTATTCATTGCAACATTATTCATAATAGCCAAAAGGCGGAAACAACCCAAATGTCCATCAATGGATGAATGGCTAAACAAAATGTGGTATCTACATGTAATGGAATATTATTCAATCTTAAAAAAGAATGACATTCTCATATGTGCTACAACAAAAATTAACCTTGAAAATATCAATGAAATAAGCCAGACACACAATGACAAGGATTATATGATTTCACTTATACAAAGTATAAGTAGAATAGTCAAATTCATAGAGCAAAGGATAATGGCAGTTTTTGGAGGTTTGGAAGGGAGGAATGAGGAGTTAAGTGTTTAATGGGCACAGAATTTAAGTCCGGAGTGAGGGAAAAGTTGTGGAGATGGACAGTGGCAATGATTGTGCAACAATGTGAATGTACTTATGCTGCTCAACTGCATACTTAAAATGGTTAAAATGGTAAAATTTCCATTATGTGTATTTTGGCACAATAAAAATATATTTGAAAAGCACATGAGGCTAGAATTTAGAAAATAGAAGAGTGGGCATTCTAGAGGTAACAAGTGCAAGGGTCCTGAGGCGAGGCAGGAATGCATTTGCAGAGCTCTGAGGAACAGTAAGGAAGATTAGGACTGAAGCACAACGCAGAGAATGAGGGATAAGGGTTAATCATATGCAGGCTTGTAGGGTCTTATAGTTCTGTATAGGGAACCCGGGGACAGGCTGGAAGCCACTGGAGGAATTTAAACTGAGGAATGATAAAATCTAACCTTTGTCCAAACAGTATCATTCTGGCTGCTGCATTCTTTAATCAAAGCCTCATTTGCAAATGGGTATAAGAAAATCAACCACCACAAACAGTAAGAGTAACCCAGAGCGTTAAGAGTGCACATCAAGCATTTAATACATTGCCTGGGGCTAGGAATTCATTTAAAGATAATCATTACTTTGCTAGAAATCCAAAGAAAGTCCATAGTCCCTGAGGAGGAGTTTTAGGGAATTTTGTGGCACTTCAACTAGACAGGGAGGATGAACAATATTTCCACTAACAGAAGGAGAGGGCTTTCTGGGTGGAGGGATCTGAGTGATCAACAGCACATGAACAAAAACAAAGCCAGCAACCAGGAAGAGAGAGGGAGAGGTTTGATCAGCCATAGAGGGTCACCAGAGCAGTGTGGACTCCAGAGCCCAGGAGACCCAAGTCTTGACGATTTTGCGACAGATGTCAAGCAAGCCCAGAGCTGTAATGTCAGAAAATTGAACCCTCATTGCTCAGCCTGTGCTGGAAAAACTGGGAGCAAGAGTCCTCACCATTGCTGGTCCAGGGGTGGAGAGGTTGGGCAGGAGAAGCAGAGGGCGCACGTGAAAGTGGCAGAGAGGAAGGAAGCCAGGAGTTCTCGGTTTCTCAGCATCTGGGAGGAAGCAGTTAAGTGACAAGTACCAAGCGCCCCAGGCTTCAGGGATCAGAGTAAGTCTCCCGCTGCAGGGCTGAGACAGCGCCCAGGCAGCCCCTTCAGAGCCCTCACCAGTGATACACACATTACCTTGTCTAGTGCGATTACGCATTTAACGTTCCAGCTCCCAGTCGTCAGGGAACTGCTTTCATTTCCTCCCAGAGTCTGGCACAGTGTCTGAAATACAGGCGGCGCTCGCCGACGGCTTGCTGAACGGCTGAATGGGATCAGAAACCGACAAGAGGTTTTGGGAAAGGGCACCGTGCGCCGGGCGTCCAGAAACACACGTGGGACTGGAAGCCATTCCAACTCCACGGGGGTTAAAGTTGCTTGAGAATAAGGTCCTGCAGAGTCTCTCGGGTCACCTCCCCGCCGGTTATCAGAGACAACAGACAGGTGGTGGGCAGACACATCATTCCACAGTGTACAGAGGGCTTTCACACTGAACAGGAGGGTCCCGGAGAGGAAGAAAACCAGGGCCCGCCCATGGATGGATGCTCATGGTGCATAGCTGTGGCTCCATTTCAAGGCGGAAAACACTGAGTCTCCGGGATCAAAGTAGGTCTGCCAGTTTTCGGGACCGAGCCCGGGCGACTGGGAAGCCACAGCCCCGAAGACTGCAGATGCCGAGACTCCGGCGGGGCCCCAGCACTATCTGCACGTCCCTCCCCAGGGGCTCGCAAAGTCTCGGCTGCATTCCGCAACAGCAGTTGTCAAGGCAGGCGCTGGGGTCCCGGGCGCCCCCGAAATCGGGGACCCGCACCCCGCCCACCAGCGCCCAGCCCGCACCACTTAGCGCCCAACTCCCCAACTCCGGGACTTTAGCAAAGCTCCCGCGGGCGGGGCAGCGCCGAGGAGCGGGACGCACCATCGCGGCCCGAGAGGGGGAGGCGGTGCGGCGCCGGACCCCGCCGAGCCGGGGCGGACTGGACCGCGGGCGAGCAGGCCGAGGCCCGCGGCGCGAGACTCCCGGCAGCGGATCAGGGACAGGGCGGCGCGCGGGGCGCGGCTCGCCGGGGCGCGAGGACGGCGTCGGCGGTGACGATCCCCCCGCGGCGGCGGCACTGTGGCGGCGGCCGGCTCCCCGGCCGGCGAGCGGCGGAAGTGCCGCGGAGTTGGAGCGGGGCCGGCGCCGCGGCCGCGTCTGCTTGCCGAGCTGCTGCCGCCGCCGGGCGGACGGGCGGACGCGCGGAGCTGGGGGCGGCGCAGCGGGGCCGGCGGGTCGCGGCGGGGCTGACCGGCCCCGATGAGGCGGAAGGAGAAGCGGCTCTTGCAGGCGGTGGCGCTGGTGCTGGCGGCCCTGGTCCTCCTGCCCAACGTGGGGCTCTGGGCTCTGTACCGCGAGCGGCAGCCCGACGGCACCCCCGGGGGTTCTGGGGCAGCGGTGGCCCCAGCCGCAGGACAGGTGAGTGCCACCGTGGCCATCGGGTTGGGAGCACCTTCTCCCTAAATTCACTTCTAGCCTAAGGTTCCTTCCTCCACATTCTCCTGTCTGTCTCCCCAAAGGCAGCGCCGAACACTCTACTCTTCCCATTTCTCAGATTGGGAAATTTGAGGCTCCCGGGACAGGGATTTGTCCAAGGTCTCACTCCTGTCAGAGACAGAGCCAGAACCAGAACTAGAGCCTAGGACCCTTTGTACTTAGTGCGGGCTCAGTTTGTTATACTTGCCCCCTCCTTTCTGTCGCTGTCCGCTATTCCTTGACCTTTTTCCAGCATTTTTTTTTCTTAGAGTAGCCTACCTGCATCCCTGTATGCCAGGATGATTCCTTCTGCAGATGAGGATGGAGATGCTGGTCCTTCTATAAGATGTCCAAATCTCTTCTCTCTCGCCTCATCCCCCACCGCCACCTGCTGATCCTGGTGTTTCTACTCAGATTCATCCCTTCTTATTGTGCCATCTGCACAGGGACACCTGGGCCTCCTGACTCTCCTCATTTGTTTGTCTCCCTCTCAACCTATTAATTTTTCAGGTCCTGTACATTTTGGGGGGGGGGGGGGGTGCAAAGATCATGCTATGCTCCCTGGACATGGGAGTGAGTTCCTGGTCCTTAAGGAACTTTCCACCTTTGACCCTCTGGGAGTCTAAAAGATGGATTCTGTGGTGGAAGGACCTCCAAAATATCCCAGAGGCTATTGATGCCCATTGCCCTGAGGTTAGAACTCCAGATGCTGACCATGTCTCTTCTGAACTAATTAGATGTGGTGTTTCTTGCAGCCAAAACTGGAATCTTAATTTCTGCTTCTTTTGAGCTCACCCATGTACCTTCCTGTGTGTTTGTGTGTGTGTGCTTGTATGTGTGTGCTGTGTGCATGAGTACATACATTGAGACTAGCAGCTTCCTGATAGAGAAGCTCTGTCACATCACTCCAACCCTACCAGCTCCTGGCAAGCATATTCATGCTTCAACTCTTTCATACAGTGGGACTTCTCAGATTTTCTTATGGAATTTCTCTGATCCCATGGGAAGTGGTAAGCTGTGCATCAGGGTCAGTCTTGACTGATTGTTGGCTGCCCTCCAGGGAAGAGGATGACTTTTTGAGGTTGATGGTTCTCCTTTCTCTTCTCAGTATCAGGCTGCTTTCTGGGCATTCTGGCATCTTGAGCACAGAGGACTCTGTGCTACAGGGCTCATCAACTTAAGTTCAGTCTGTCACTCTGGTAATTGTTGCAAACCATCCCAGAGGGTCTGGTGGATTTTTCTGGTAGATGTTACTGTTTAGAAACTAAGGGCCTAATTCTTTTCCTAAAATCTGATTCAAACCCTGTTAGCCAATTTGGACCTCTGTCTCTTAAATTCTGCATCTGTATGAGTTTTTCTTTCATGAAATCTCCTTCCTCTGTCCCTACCTGTACCAGCATCAGGGTCAGGAGGCCAAGGTTCTAGCCTCAGCTCTACCATTAACTTGCTATCAGTCTCCCTCTCTGAGCCTTATCTTCTTCATCTGTAAAATGTGATCGTTGGTCCAGTACCAGCATTCTGTGATACAGTCAGTGAATCAGTGAGGAGGACAGTGGGTCACTTCTTTTCCTTTTCCCAAGATAGAAGCCCCTTGTAACATTCCTTACTTCTGGGAGCTCCCTATGGACAGAAGTCTAGACCAAGGGGGAGTGTCCTGCTCAAGTGCAGACTCTCCTTTGGAAGAGCTGTAGCCACTTGTAAAATAGATCTTGACATTCTGTCTCTGCCTGGAGAAAGCCCTTATATTTCATTTGCTGAAGATGCCAGAGTTGTCCTGATTTTCATTTCCTACACACCCAGATGTGTAGAGAGAAGGTCAAGGTTAACTGCCAGTTTGGCCTGAGCTTTCAAAGTAAATTACTCACTTGTGCAAGAGGCTGTTGATGGAGTAAGGCAACCTTTTGGGTGGAGGAAGAGGGGAGCAACAGCTGGATGCTGCTCGGAGTCCCTAACTGAAAAAAGCAGATAGGCTCATTTGGGCAGATCCATTACTTGTTCATTTCTTTTTCCCTGGACTAGCCTGAAGAGGAGGAGGATGAGGTGGTGAAGGGGTTTGGTATGTGTGGGAGGGGTTTGCCAGTTGATTGTCCTTGCTTTGAAGAACATTTCTTTGCTTCCAGTAAGCAGCAGAAGGGAGCTGTTTCCCCCATCATAAGTTCTCTAGGTGCTCCAGGATTCAGCATTCATCTGCTGCCTTTCAGGAACACCCTGCCAAATTTCCACACAGCCCTTTTTGTTTCATTCTCCCGCAGATGCAGAGCTCTGGGCTTGGCCCCCAGTCCCCTGTTAGAATGTCAGCTGGCCTTGGGGGAAGAAGCCGACTTCTCCCAGCAGTGCTGTTCCTGCCCTCATCCCAGTGTCCTGGAACATGCACGTAACACATTAGGCTGCTGTCTGGGGAATCTGGCATCTTGAGCACACGGAGCTTTTTCGACAGGCCTGACCAGTTCTGAGCTCAGCCTGTCACTCTTATAATTGTGGAGAACCATCCCAGAGCACTTCGTTGATCTTTCTGGTCGAAACAGCTGCAGAGGCTCTAGAGGGAAGTCTGACGGATTTTATCCAAATGAAAAATAGGTTCCTTGTGGGTTTGAGGGAAGTTTCTTTGAGAGTAAACTATCCTCTAACTTCTTGATTTCACCACTGGATTGTAGAATTGTTTCAAATTAAGAGCATTTGTCATCTGCTAGAATGTAAGTCTACATAATTGCCACACTAGCTCATCCTGTGTAGGGCATCTGATTTATAGGGATACATAATGCTTCTAGGATTTCAGCACTCCTTTGGTCAGACAGTTGGTGTCTTGGAAAGCTACAAAACCCAGCAAGAAAACCCAGTCTCGATGCCATCTTTCTTTTAATTTGGGGGTCCTTCTTCTTCCTGGCCCCAGTCTGCCTAACATCTTGGTTTAATTCTAGAGTCTGTTTCGGATTCCAGGCTGGGGAACTGGTTATTAAAAAACCGTGTTAGGAAATTTGATGCAGTCCCTCCCCTCTTCTGAGCCCTAATCCCTGGTGAGAAATGACTTCATTGGATAACAGCATCTGTGGAATAGAAATTGGTGGGATCATGGAATACCAATAACTTTAATTTTCAAGTATCAGGAGTTTTTCTTACTGTGTCAGAGCTGAACTTTATTCTTAGAACATCCAGAAATCAATACTTTCTTCCCCTGTTTTGTTCAGTCTTTCTAGTAGCAAAACCTTGCCCATCAGAAAGTTAAGGACCGTGGAAATGTAGCTTGGAATGATTTCTTTAATTTTCCACAGAGGGGCTGGTGTCCTCTAGGTTGCTAATCACTTCTCTGTCTGCTTGCCCAGGTGAAATTTGATGCCACTAGGGAAGGGCTGTTGATTTACCAGAGCTAATCTACCTCCCGCATTCTTCCTCTCCTGGGAGCTGAGGAAGGCCTGGGAAGAGAAGCCTGGTTTCTGATTCCCTCTTCTGCCCTAAACCCACTGTGTAACCTCAGAAAAATGCTTTAACCTCTCTGGGCCTTGGATTCCTTATTTGTGAAGTGAGTTTAGACTCTGAAGGGGGAAAGACAAATGCGTATGTATCATAATGGTGCTTCTCCTTCCATGGCCAGGGCAGACATTGCTAATCAATCTTTTTTTTCCCAGGAAACCCAGACTTGGTCTCGGACTGTTTAACACTGCCACTTAAATGGAGTTAATGACATTGAAATTCACTTGTGATGTAAGAACAGATACTTTGTTAAGGATTTTCTAATTCTAACAACCTGGGGTTCTATGGGTTTGGAAATGATGAACTTAAGGATTTGTTCATATTCTGAAGGCTTCTCACGGGTTGTCATCCAAAGATGTTCAGTCTTTAATCTGTGGGCTCCAGTGACATGATAACAGATAAAGAAATAAAGACAGAAAAAGCAAAGGCCCATTTAAAAGATAACCATCCAGCTTCCTAATTGTACCTTGTCTGCAGTCAGCTCTTTACAGAGATGGCGTCAGGGTCTCATCTCGGTATAAAACACCTCTAGGCAAACTTGGCAGTTAGAAGCATGTCCCGCAGCAGCTAAATGCTCCTGATGGTGTGTGCAGTGGCTTCTGTATTTTGCATATATCTGACCCTCTGCCGCTCATGAATGTGTCAGAGCAAGTAAAGGAAGGACTTGCATAAGAGTCTTGCTTCTCCTGAGCCCACTATTCTCATGCCCCTGGAGTGGGGAAAGGATGTAGCCCACACATGTCTGAGCTCCTGTGGACAAGAGATACATCCTGGCTTGGCCTTGTGCCCTGGAAATGAAATCTTCTGGCACATAGCATGAGGTATTGCCCTCGGAGGGCAGTCAGGATGTGTTTGCTGGACAATTGAAACGTGTTAGAGCAGGCAGGGGGCTTCAGAGGTCATTAGTGCAACCCCTCATTTTATATGTATGAAAACCAAGGCCCAGAAGAAGAGAAACCATGTAAACAAGTTCCCAGAACAGAAACCATGTAAACAATGCCCCCAGAACACAGCGCTCTGAGTTCTCGCTGGAGCTCACCATGAAGATTTTCTTCCCTCCCCGTTCCAATATCTGAATCTTTTCTATCCTTATTTCCCTCATGAGCCAAGATTATCATGCCAAGTTTTGAAGGCCAGTACTTAATGAGACCAATTATCTGCTGGAACTTACCTGGCTTCTTTGCAGATCCATTTTTTGTAAAGTTACTTCCCAAATGTTTTATACTTTAAAGTAAGTAAAATGGATTAAACTTTAAGGCAGCACAGGGATCCAGCAGGGTAGTAGAGGAATTAAACGTGTGCAAGGCATGTGGTGCTATTACTGCTATTGATGGTACACGGAGCTAACTGAGCCTAAGAGCCAGCTCAGATTCGGTATGAGTTGCAAGTAACAGAATTAATTAAGCAGGCTGACTCAAGTAAGTTAGAGGATAGACCGGTTCCTGTGACTGCCATGGAGTTCAGGCACGGTGCGA